AGAAGCAAATGCACCTAGAGCTTGAGCGTTTCCTCAAAGAACTGGAACTAAAGCAGGCTGCTTTGTTGCGCCCCCCCTAATGTTGAGTCGTCTGCATTCGATGCAGCTAGGAACATTAGATTGGTTCCTCCTTTTGTAGAGAAAGATGCTGAAAAGTATTTCCCTCATTTTGAACGTGTGGCCACCCTTTCAAAATGGCCTAAACATGCATGGACTTTGCTTTTGCAGAGTGTGTTGGTGGGAAAAGCACAGGAAGTTTACTCTGCTTTAAGCATCCAGGAAAGCCTGGACTATGAGACCATTAACGGGGCTATTCTGAGAGCTTACGAACTTGTCCCTGAAGCTTACTGCCAACAGTTTAGAAGTCTCAGGAAACGCTGAGGTCAATGTTGAGTTTGCAAGAGAAAAAGACTCCCTCTTTAGCAGATTTTGCAAGTCTCAGAAAGCAGAAACAAAAGAAGATCTCAAACAATTGATCTTGCTTGAAGAATTTAAAAACTGTCTGCCTGACATCATTTGTACATATTTAAATGAGCAAAAAGTGTCCACTTTGGATAAAGCTGCTGTTTTGGCAGATGAGTTCCTCTTGACCCATAAGATTGATTTTGACAAAAGACTGGGTTAGCAAAAGGGAAGAGCTTTGTTTCACAGACCTCGTTCTCCAAAGCCTGTGTCCATGTCTTCTGCTTCCTTCACTGGTAAATCAGCCGTTGGAAGCGCTTCTTCAGAAAAGGCCTGTTTCTACTGTAAGAAACCCGGCCATCTTATTGCTGATTGCCCTATCTTGTGTAAGAAACAAAAGTCCTGTAAGCCAGTAACTTTGATAAAAACTGTAAAAGAGTCTCCTGTAGCCCCAGCTATGGAGCATTCAACTCAAAAGAGTGAGTTAGCTGGCTCTTCAGCTTTTCTTATGGATGGTTTTGTTTCCCTTGGTTCTGATCCTGCAAGCGAGCGGCCTATTAAGATCTGGAGAGATTCTGGAGCTTTTCAGTCTTTGATCCTCGAGGACTTCCTCCAGTTTACTGATGAATCTGCTCTGGGTTCTAGCGTTCTTGTCGAGGGGTTCGGTGGGGGTTATTTGTTCTGTCCTTTACATAATCTTAACCTTCAAACAGCTCTGGTCTCTGGAGAGGTAGCTGTGGCTATTTGTCCATATCTCCCAATTGAAGGTGTGTCCTTCATCTTAGGGAATGACCTGGCCGGAGGTAGAGTACTTGTTGCCCCTGAAGTAGTTCTGTCCCCTGTAGCTATTAAAAGCCCAGATGAACTGGAGAAGCAATTTCCAGACACTTTCCCTGTATGTGTTGCTACCCGTGCCATGTCAAGGAAAGACCAAGGCAAAACCTCTGATCCTGAGATTGTCCTTTCAGACACCTTCCTACTAAAGGATGAGACACCAGGGTTTGGTAAAGTGTTCCCCTCTCGGGAAGAACTCAAGCTTGAACAGGGAAAAGATGCAACTTTGTCTTCCCTGTTTGGTGAAGCTATTTCCGAGGATGAAATTACAGCTGTTTCATGTGAGTATTTTGTGAATGATGGAGTGTTGATGAGAAAGTGGACATCTCCTAAGATGTCTTGTCAGGATGACTGGAGCAGTGTGTTTCAAGTTGTTGTTCCGAGTGCTTATCGTCCTGATATCTTGCATTTGGCTCATGATCATTGTCTTGCGGGACATATGGGAGTTCGAAAGACTTTGGACCATGTGTTGAGGCATTTTTTTTGGCCTGGGGTGAAAAGGGATGTTGCTCAACACTGTAGAACATGTCATGTGTGCCAAACTGTTGGTAAACCTAACCAGAAAATCCCACCTGCGCTCTTACATCCTATTCCAGCTATTGGAGAGCCTTTTGAGCGAATCCTGATTGATTGTGTTGGTCCACTCCCTTGCACCAAGTCAGGTAACCAGTACTTATTGACTATCATGTGTACGGCTACTCGGTTCCCTGAAGCCATTCCCCTGCGCAGAATTACAGCTTCAGTGGTTTCTAAGGCTCTAATTAAGTTCGTCACTGTGTTCGGCCTCCCCAGGGTTGTTCAGACTGACCAAGGGTCAAACTTCATGTCCCGTGTTTTCTCTCAAGTGCTCAAGCAGTTGTCTATCCAGCATTGTACTTTGTCTGCTTATCACCCAGAATCCCAGGGAGCCCTGGAGAGGTTTCACCAGACTCTCAAGTCAATGTTGCGGGCCTACTGCAGAGAGTTTGAGAAAGATTGGGATGATGGAACCCCTTTACTTCTCTTTGCAGCAAGGGAAGTGACCCAAGAATCACTTGGTTTCAGTCCAGCCGAGCTAGTGTTCGGCCATACTGTGCGGGGTCCTTTGAAAATGTTGAAAGAGAAGTGGCTGGTAAATCAGTCTCCTCCTACCAACCTCCTGGACTTTGTGTGTAACTTCCGGACTAAGCTTAATAGGGCATGTGAACTAGCTAGGCAAAACTTGGGGGATGCTCAAGAAAAGATGAAGGGATGGTACGATAAGAAGACGAGGCATCGAGTGTTCTCACCAGGGGACAAAGTTTTGGTGCTTTTGCCACTCACCGGGTCTGCTTTGCAAGCTCAATATAGCAGACCATATGTGATTGACCATCAGGTTGGTGAGTGTGATTACTTGGTTAAGACTCCAGATCGAAAGCGAAAAACACGCTTATGTCATGTGAACCTGTTGAAACCTTACTGTGAGAGGAACCAGCCCGTGCTCTCAGATGTGAAGACTGTTGCTGTGTTGAATACTTCAATCCATGTACATGAGGATACTGATGTTGTGGATGTTCCAAAAGATAGTGATGTTGTTGTTGTTTCAGAGAACAGTGATGTTCCAGAGGATGCTTTCGTTCATCCAGAAACCTCTCAGGGTAGGTTGCCAAATTCTAAAATCCTGGCTAACTTGGATGTCCATCTTTCTTACTAGGATTCTCCCAAATGCTCTGACATCATTGAGTTGGTTAATAAACATCCTGCCCTGTTCTCTGATGTGCCGACACGCACAACCGTTCTTCAGCATGACATTGATGTAGGTGATGCTGCTCCCATTAAGCAGCATCCTTACAGAGCAAATCCTGTTAAGCGACAGCTTCTGCGTAATGAAGTAGATTATATGCTGCAACATGGTATTGCTGAACCTAGTGCTAGCTCATGGAGTTCCCCATGCCTGCTTGTTGAGAAGTCAGATCATACTCCCCGTTTTTGTACTGACCTTCGCAAGGTCAATTCTTTCACCAAGCCTGATTGCTACCCTCTTCCCCGATTGGATGATTGTATTGATAGGGTGGGATCAGCAGTTTTTGTCACCAAGTTAGACCTCTTAAAAGGTTACTGGCAAGTCCCTCTTACTCAGCGAGCCTGTGAAATCTCTGCTTTTGTGACACCAGACGATTTCTGTCAGTACACTGTTATGGCTTTTGGAATGCGGAATGCACCGGCTACTTTTCAGCGTCTGGTAAATAAGGTATTGAAGGGAGTTGTAGATTGTGAAGCCTATCTTGACGATGTGGTGATTTACAGTTCCTCCTGGTCTCAGCATGTAGCTCAGCTGGAAGAAGTGTTTCACAGGCTTGCTGTTGCCAATTTGACTTTGAATCTTGCCAAGTGTGAATTTGGACAGGCCACGGTAACATACTTGGGAAAAACGGTTGGATGTGGAAAGGTCTGTCCCATTGAGGCCAAAGTGGAGGCCATTGTGAACTTTGGTGTGCCCAGTTCTCGGCGTGATTTGAAATGATTCCTTGGTATGGCGGGTTATTATAGGAATTTTTGCAAGAATTTTGCAACTGTTGCTGCCCCCTTGACTAATCTGCTTAGCCCAAAAGTCCCTTTTGTTTGGACAGACGTGTCAGTTTGCTTTCGAGAGCCTGAAAGCACTGTTGGCTAGTGCTCCTGTTCTCGCTGCCCCTGCCTTTAACAGGCCCTTTAAACTAGCTATTGATGCAAGTGATGCTGCTGTTGGGGCTGTTCTCCTCCAAGAGGATCCATCAGGGGTAGAGCATCCTGTGTGCTACTTTTCGAAAAAGTTTAACTTGCATCAAAAACACTACTCCACTATAGAGAAGGAGGCGTTAGCCCTTATTCTAGCTCTGGTTCATTTTGGTGTTTATGTTTCTTCCAGCCAGACCCTAGTGGTCTACACCGATCATAACCCCTTGGTTTTCCTTAACAGGATGAAAAACTCCAACAACCGTCTAATGCGATGGAGCTTGATCTTGCAGGGGTTTAACCTGGACATCCAGCATGTGCGTGTGAAGGATAATGTTCTCACAGATGCCCTTTCAAGGTCGTAAGTGTATTCACATTAGTTTGCACATTTTTCAATTTCAATTTTCAATTTTATTTATAAAGTCCAATATCACAAATCACGATTTGCCTCACAGGGCTTTACAGCATACGACATCCCTCTGTCCTTATGACCCTCGCAGTGGATAAGGAAGAACTCCCCCATAAAAACCCTTTAACGGGGAAAAAAAAACGGTAGAAACCTCAGGAAGAGCAACTGAGGAGGGATCCCTCTTCCAGGACGGACAGACGTGCAATAGATGTTTTACAGAACAGATCAGCATAATAAATTATCAGTAATCCGTATGACACAATGAGACAGAGAGAGAGACAGAGAGAGAGATGCAGGTAATAACAGTAGCTTACAACAACATTATTGAAAGTAATAATATTATAGTTATAGTTCTGGCTACTGTGGTACAATATGTTGAAAGTATGTATTAATATCTGGCAGTATACATGTGTGACAATAGTCATATGTGTATAATAACAGTAGAAGTATGACTAATGACTAATGATGGCAGCAGCAGCAGGAGGCATCTGGCAGGACCACGGCAGCAGCACAACCACACACGTCATGCTGTCCAGGCACCACTGCGATATGAGTTAATCTGAGAGACAGTGGAGTACAAAGGCTCCGGAGAAGAAGCCGAGTTAGTGACATCCAGAATGGCCAAGTTAGCAAGATGCAGTAATAGAATATGAGAGAGAGAGAGAGAGAGAGAGAGAGAGAGAGAGAGAAGGAGAGAAGGTGCCCGGTGTATTTTGCGGCCTATGTGGTAGTCTAACTGTAAGGTTGCATTTAAGCAACCTGCTTATGGGAGGGGGTGTTATGTCCAAATCTGATTCTTTTTGTTTTTCAGGTAATCAAACTCCTCCCCTATAGTTTCCCTCTTAATCTCTGACACCTGCTGGGAGGTCTTTAAAAGCCCAACCAAGCTCCACCCACTCTCTCTCTTCAACCATGCAGCCTGGGCCAGCTGCATTGTCACCAGCCTCCATTTTCAGCTTTTGGTTATCCTTTGTTTCCTTTTGTGCAATAAATGTTACTTTAATTGCTACACATGTTGTCTGACTCCTCTATGTTGCTTCCCAAGAGCCGGGGTTGTAACAATTCTCAATCTTCTTTCTGCTATCTGATAGTTTCCTCTTTAATTGTTTGACTTCTTTGTTTCTCCGGGGGATTTTAGTGGGGCTGAACTGCCCTTGCAGCACATGTACTTATGCCCAGCTAGACAGCCAGTTAACAGACAAAGTCCCCCAATAAAAACTACAAGGCTTGACTTTTCTTGTGTTTTACCGGTCTTCTTTGTTTGTTTGCTTTTTGCTTTTTCCTTTTTAAAACTGAGAAACATAGCAGAAACAAGAACATAGATTTGCATTACATAAAACACATCACTGAGTCATCAATCAATAACTGAACAGAGCTACAGCCTGTTGCTAGCTAGCGGAGCACATGTTCTACAAAAATAATCACATTAATCTCCACTCTGCTATTTAAAATAAAAACACAAACGTCTACTAATGTACAGAGTATTACAGAATAATTCACAGAATACTTACAGATAAATATTCAAGGCTGAAGCACAGAAAACTCTCAGCATAACATGAATGTGGCTGTCTGCCTGGCCTGTGTGAGCTCCAGCAAGATGCAGGCCAAACTCGGAACTGGGATTGATACGGTTTCCAGTCCGGAAAGGTACAAAAGAACACCCGTTCTACCCGGAGGTCTCATCATCAAACTCGGGCAAGGTCCAGGTAGACCGAGTCAGTAGAATTGACGTCACGACGAAGATGGCTGCGCACATTGTGAATGGTAAACAAAGTTATTTGTCCTCGTATATGCTGTTTAATTAAGCGTTTGTGTTGTAAAAATCATACAAGTACTTTGCAATGGCATTTCTATTTCCACTGTTGATTAGTGTTGGAAAAAAAGTCTGTGCAAGCCCGTTGTAGCCTAAAGTCATATGAACCAGCAATGTCTATGGCTAGACTACATTGTAGGCTATTCTCTTTCTGCTCCTATGTAGAATAGCTTCATTTTTCATTGCACCTATGATCATCTTAAGCATTTAAAATGCATGTTCAGGTGTTGATCACCAGTGTTCGTTTCCAGAGCTTGTGTACATGTCTTGTAAAGTCAGCCTAGTAGGTTGAAACAAGTGTAAAATGGATGAGGTGGATAGATATACATGCAAGGACCAGGCTAAAATGGAATGTGTCTTTCTTTACCTCTGTTGTTACAGTATACGCAGATGAAAACTCTACTCTATTTCTTGATCGAGCGCTGAGCAAGCCCCTGAACCGCCTCCCTTATCGAACAGCTTCAGACCCCCATACCCTCTTTCTGGATGAGCAAATGACTGTTCGGCTTGAAATACATTTACCTGGTGAGTGAAATATTGACAATCCCTTTTCACTTCTTGTAATGTAATGCTGTCATTCATGTATCATCATGTGTAAACACACATATTAATCATAGGCATATTTGTCATTGTATACTGTAGAAGGCTATGGTACCATCACTGTCATCTGATCAAATGTTACATGTTTAGGGCTGCAAAATGCTGCTGACGGTGCCAGTGGGGAGGCAATGGAGGCGCAAAGTGACCCGACAAGTCCCACAGAGCCTCCAAATGAAACAATGCAGAACAATGAAGAGTCCAATAAGGAGGCAATGGAGGAGCAAAGTGACCTGTCCACAGAGGTTCCAAATGTACCCATGCAGGTGAATGAAGTGTTCACTAGGGACCTAACTTTGTTCCTCATAGATTTGATGAGGCACAGGATGGAAGAGGATGGGGGGGACTTACCGAGGTCCTTGAAGGAGCTCAATGCCAGGGTGAGGCTGGGAAAAAGGTCCAAGAAGCAAATGTGGCAAGAAATGGCTGCCAAACTTACCAACCATTTCGGTGTTGTTTTTGGGCCTGACAAGGTTGCCAGAAAATGGGGGACCTTGGAGGAGAGCTATAAACGGATCAAAGACAACAACCGCACAACGGGCCAGGGGACAATGCGGTTCCAGTTTTACGCGCAGATGGAGGAACTGTTGGGCGGCCACCATGACGTTACTTATCCTGCTGTGGGTACAGCTCAAGGATTAGAAATCAGGAGACCTGAAGATCTGCGTCTCCCAGACCTGTCCAGCTGTCCCCCAGGCTCCTCCACCAGTCTGCCAGGCTCCTCCACCACTTTGCCAGGCGCCTCCACCACTCTGCCAGTCTCCTTCAGCCGCCCCCCAGGCTCCTCCACCACTCTGCCAGGCGCCTCCACCACTCTGCCAGTCTTCTTCAGCTGCCCCCCAGGCTCCTCCACCACTCTGCCAGGCTCTTCCACCAGCCTGCCAGGCTCCTCCAGCCGTCACCCCTATAGACGTTGCCGGCCAGAGGAAATTCCCCTCGCTGGAGTCATTCGAGAAGTGGAGGCTGCAAGCCAACAAAGACATTTGGAGCTCATGGCCCTGTTGACGCGCTCCAATGAATCATTTGAAAATCTCATGGGTCATTTTCTTGACAAAGACTGAACCCAGGAAGAATCCTCATTATAAAAAGTATTTGTCTGGTACACAGTGTGTTAATCATCCTAATTTATTTAAGATATTTTACTTTTTACTCTGCTTTTTTCAAGAACTATCTTATTTCTAACCACGTGTGCTGTTTTTTATTTAATAAAATACTTCAGTTCATCAACATTCATCAGACAATCTTTTATTCCATTTTTTGTGAGAAGAAAATGAAGGAACAATTCTTTTGATCCAAAAATACAGGGTGCTTTTCAAAACAATATAAATGACTTTTTATATATTTATCAGGAGTGCTCTGTTTTCCTGTTTTTTCAAAAGGCAACATAATTTTGGGCAACACAAATCACACAACCACAACACATTGCTGGCTCATTGTGACAAAACAATTCATGAATACAAAAATTTAATAACGAAAATCATAATTTAGCTATTCATTATCATCGCCATCTCTTGGGCAGCCGTGTGGATGGTCTTCACACACTTCTGTGGGGTCTGCACAGAGATTGCGGAGGATACAGGCTGACATAATTATCATTATAATTATGTCAAGGCAGTAATTCTGGAGTTTTCGGACTCTTCTCCACCGACACTTCATCCTACCAAAGGTCTGCTCCACAATCACTCTGCCCCTGCCGATTGGAAAGTTCCTTGCTATATCCACGGCTGACAGAGCCCCATTATCTCTTTGAGGTGAACAAACAAAGGAGTAGGCATTCCCGCAGTAAGCACTATCCCCCAGCAGCTGGTACTCTCCCATATTCTCCTCCCAAGTTGTATAAATGGTGGAAGAGCGAAGCATTCGTGCATCATGCACCCTACCTGGTGGTCCGACAAATATGTCTACAAACCTTCCCCTTTCATTCATAATCCCCTGTAGGAGGACCGAGTAAAACCCTTTCCTGTTGAGGTAGTCGCTGCCCCGGAGGATGGGCCTCTGTATTTTAATGTGGCACCCATCGATGGCACCAATAATGCCAGGGATGTCACAGACCCTGGAAAATGCAGCAGCAGACAATCTCTTCTCACACTCACTGGGCCAGGAGATGAAGGAGGGGGTAAGGGAACAGAGTGTGCTGAGTAGCTCAACAATGCACTGATGAGCTTTACTCTGTGACACATTAAACTTATCAGAGATTTCTCTGAATGAATTTTGGTTCCCCATATACCACAAAAACATTATAAGTCTGTGGTGAAGGGGAACTGCAGGTCGGCCTCCAAAATGAGGGGCCTGGTGTTGTTGACTCTGTTGTTGTTGTTGTTGGTGTAGCTGGTCCAGTAGGAAATTAAATTGGGCCCAGGTCACCCTAAGATGCCGGCAGAATGAATGTTCATCCATTTCCAGAAAGATTTCCCATTCTCTACCCGTCTTTAATACAGAGTGTCTGATGGATAACTGGGACAGCACATACCTGCAAGGCAACAAAGATGTTCATGAGAAAAGTAATGTTCTCTCTCTCTCTCTTCTACTTCTACTACTACTACTACTACTATTAATAATAATAATAGGGCTACTTTTTATAATAATAATAATAGGGCTAATATTTTTGCACTTGCTGTCTTTATTAAAAGTGCAGTTTGGAGGTCTTTTCGTAATGAAACGGAAAGTGCAGACCAAAGTCAGTTCATTAAGCACGGGTTTCAATACACAGGAACAGATATTCATAGATCCTTTGTGCTAGCACATACAGTAGAGCTAACTAGGAATGCATTGTTTAACACATTCACAGGAAAGATGTTAGAGTCCTTGTGCTGTAAGTTACAATATCATACATGGTCATTCAAAGTGCTTTATGCATGTCATGCAAAACACTGATAAGGCTATCTCAACACCTTTCTGACAGCCTACACACTTTTTAGCTGAGTGGTTATTGGAAAACTTTGGCCTTACAGCATGATGCGATGTCTTTCTTCATCCCTTGGACTCAAATATTTGATGTAGCTAGGTAATCAGTGTCCTTCTCTGGTGCTCAGCAACCATACAAACAAAAACAAACTTATGGCGTGCCGCCATGTTTTCCGGACTGTTGCAATGAAACGCTTTCAGATCAGACGTGTCATACGGTCATAAAAATCCGACAAGGAATGACCGGCCTGGATTGCCAAACGAATGCGGCATTACTACAAAGAGTAGCAGAGCTGAAAATGAAAGTAAGAGCGCTCACTCTGAGGCTACTTCTGAAACCAAAAAACAGAGCGCTCATTCTGACACTTTTTAAAGGCAGCACAGGGGCCACTCAACTCAGCAGTAGATCTGAGTTTACTGTTAAAACTACCTACAATAAAATCACAAGACAAGGGCAAAAACTCTGCAGAATTCTCCCTTAAAAGCTTAATAAAATTTGCAGCCACTTCAGCTTTAAGATAGCGTTTTCTTACAGTGCGTTCTGGAATATCCTCTTGTATAAAATCATTTACAGTAAAAAAAGACACAAAAATGATCAGAAATGCCTGCATCCACAACTGAAAAAATTTGTGCAAAGAAGCTATCGGTTATTACCATGTCTATGTCTGTGTGACCTCTGTTGTGTGTCTGGGTAACATGTTGGATAAAATTCATACAGTTAAGTAAATTTAAAAATTCTAATGCTTATGAGTATGAAGCTGGACCAGGATTCAGTGGGGGCCGCCGAGGGCTCTGACAATGCTGTGGATCTCCGGTCACCGGGGGTTTGAGTCATGGCAAGCAGGTGAACCAGCATAGGAGGATTAGTGCAGGGAGTGAAGGAGAGAGCCGCAGCCCTACGGCGGGCAGGAGGGCGAGAACCCAGCCGTGTCTGTGCAGATGGTGCAGGGAGCAGCCTGTCTGTGTCCGGAGCTACGCTGCGTGGATCCTGCAAGTGGAGGAAACTTGGAGAGGCTGAGATCCTGAGCTGGAAGAGGAGAAGGGGGAGATGATTTCCTCAGTTTACCACCATGTTTTGTGCAGTGGTGAACCACCGTCTACTGTGCTGACTGCCCCTGGGTGGAGCACAGCAGAGTCTTGGGTCTGGCTCCAGTCCAAGCCCACTGGTCTTCAGTCAGGAGCTGGGCCGTATTGAGCCATGGTATTGTGACCTCCAGTTCTCACCCAGCGGCATCACCCTCAGCTGCCTGGTGCTGTGACACTGCGCTAGCATGGTGTTAATTAGCTATTATCACCAAACTGGTGAAGGAGAGAGATTTTTCCCTCCAATTCGGTGACTTTCTGGTTCAGTCGAAGGCAGCTCTCGCAGGGAGCAGATGGAGAGGTGGGTGGTGCCATGGTGAAAGCTACCATTCAGTCTCTGTGTTGATAAAAACAAACTTAAAACAACAAGAACAATTAAAATCCCATTTAAAACAGTGGGTTAAAATGAATAAAAGATGTGGCAGATGTGGTGGCTGCCATCTTGCGCATGCGCTCAATTATGACTCATGGGAAACTCAAATTCAAGATATCTGCACTTCTGTTTTGTCAGATTTTTACTTAAAATTTCAAGACATTTCAATTATATTTTTTGACTTTTATTATTAGACATCGGCTTTATTATTACCAATTGTAAATACATGAAACTGGGGTTATAAGAAATTAACGAGTTCTATTTAAATCCAAATTTGTGCTGTGGGACAAATAAGGGATTATTTTATCTTATTTAAGATATCTAGCTACAAAGGAGCTATGAATATCCTGAAAGGATGTTTTAAGTGGCAGAATTAAATTTGTTGCACCAGCACCACAGAAAGCACCAGAAAAGGATCAGAGGAAGAACAATTTTAAGCATACAAACAATGAGTTTGGAAGGTGAAGTTTGCCAACAAAGTTAGCATGTCTGGCTTACTAGCTTACAGTAGCCTAAATGGAATCTCCTTTTATTTAGAGTAGCCCACACACACACACACACACACACACACACACACACATACACACATACACTGTTTGAAATTGAAGTGTGGTACATTTACAATAAAAAGTGCTTAGCAAATATCCTGGGCAAATAGAGTTGCTTGCGTTACACTCATAGACAGTAAAAATTATTTTCCAACCTCAAACAGATGCCCTTTATTGTAAAGTATTATCACCTTAAATTCTAACACTTCTGTATTACATTTGGACTTCAGTGCTTGCAGATTAGCGGCTAGATAGCTAACATAGATAACAAGCTAAGCTAACAAGCCAGACAAACAACGAACATGCTAATTAGCACTAACATTTAAAAACAATGATAATAGAATGTCACTTACCGATAAACTGGAGCACTGGTGTCTTGGACGGTCAGTTGGTACATGCTGCATAACCAGCCCTCCCAGCAAACAAGCCTGAACTGGTCCTGCACAGGCCCACTTAGGGCTGGCCTGAGGGCCCCAAGTGGGCTGCCCGCACAGGGCCCCTCAGAATTTGCTCACTGGCAAAACATTGGCCCTCAATAAGCCCAAATGCAGTGTGGGCCGTCCCCACTGGGCCCAGACAAGGCCAGCACTGATGACTAGCTCATACTCCTCATATAACCCCCAAAATTTACATTTAGCTTTAGTTCATGTATACATAATATATTTTGCTACACAGTGGATATGCTATTTCACACTGACAATTGTAACTGAAGTTCCTCTGGGAAAAATAGATTTTCTACATCAAGTAAGAACTAGCTTAATCAACAATGATTTTAAATGGGACATAATGTGCTTTTGTTTTTTTCCCCCCTTATTTTTAGTGTGTGTAGTGTGTGTGGCTTTTTTGTGCATGTACAAGGTCTGTAAAGTTACAAAGCATGTAAACCTATTCTAGTAGACACCTAAAGTGAAAGAATGAACCTGAAAATGAGCATTATATATCACTTTTAACAATAAATCAATATACTAACAATTACCTTATTATATATGTTCTACCCCTTTCTATATCCGTGAGCCAGTTTGGCTTGACTCAGTTTGACTCAGCATGACCAAGCACGACAGGGATTTGCATTTCCATTACAATAGCCCTACTTGCTTGAAGGTGTGTCTAACTAAAGACGAGTAACTTAGCTTAGCAAACACTGAACTTCCAATAAATTCTTCACAATGAAAGTCCTGTGTTATTGTGTCATTAGCTTTTATTATGAAGCAGCAAACCAGCAACCTATACAGTTAAAAAACAAACATGACAGGATAATACAACAAATACGTAAATGCCAAAACAGTGACACAGGAGAGAAACTATGCTGGGGCGATAAAATGATATTGAAAGCATCCCTAATAGGGTTGGGCGTAAACTTTTAAAATACTGCCCAACTCAATCCCTAATGTGTGTGTGTGTGTGTGTGTGTGTGTTTGTGTGTGTGTGTGTGTGTGGATGGGGACGGGGACGAGGCATTTGGGGGTTTAAAATATTGGCCTACTCAATCCCTAATAAGTGTGTGTGTGTGTGTGTGTGTGGACGGGGATGGGGATGAGGCAAGTGGGGGTATGTGGCGAAGGGGGGACGTGGTGATGGGGGGGAATGGACTTCCCCTGAGGTTTCTGTGGATTGTAGAAGACGTTGGTAGTCTCAATATACATACAGTCTGTAGGCAAACCCCGGAGATCTTGCCTCCGGAAGAAGAGCGAAAGAGCTTTGGTTTCCGGTGCTAGGCTGTTTGTAGTCCGCGTGATACTGATCAATCACGTTTGAGCCGGCTGCAGTTGTTGCCAGGTTAAACGCTCCATGCGGTTAACTAACAAGGCGGAACATAATTGGCGTCACCGCAAACTCTGAATCCATCGCAATGGTTCAGCATATTTACTTATATATAAATGGAAGTCGGAAACGGAAATTCGCCTCCTCAAATCGGAATACCAAAAAATCAGGGGTCTGCCCCCAGAGGCTGTATCGCCGTCTGCCGGAAGTCAGATGCCGAATACAGCCGATGGGTTCCGAGAATGAGACGTTGGTAGCGCTCACACCTTAATCTCCTCCTTCACTCTGGAATCCAGAAGACTTGGCTGGAGGCCACATTTTCTTACAGCCTCTAAAACAAAAAACAGATATACTAAACAATGTGTGTGGTGAGCAATTTCTTAATATGCTAGCCCTTTCATTGATTGTATTGTAACACTATACATATATGTTCAACTTTTAGACACTGCTGCCTATTTGTTAGCTAATATCTTGGCAAAAAAATTTGAATGGGGCCAGCCAGCCTGTTTAAGGTTGATGTCATTCAGTACCACATTGGTTTCAGTAGTTTTAATTGGTGACGTCATTAACAACAAACCTCCTTCACAAGGCTCAAATGCTGCTGTAAACAAAATTGAAAGTGAAAGAAAAATATTATTATTATTATTATTATTATTTTGCTTTTTTGGGCAATTTTATAAAACATCCTGTTCATGAAGAACGTGAAGAGATTAGAACAGTGAAAGATTAAAAAAGTGGCAGGTGAGGCCTGGTGTGAATGTAAGAGAGAGGTGTAGGTGTGCGTGTGGAGAGAAAAAACAGGTAAGCAGATTAAAGGTAAGTACTGAAGAAGTAGTAGTGGCTAAACAGTAAAGTAAGGCGAAGAATTAAGTAGAAACAAGTGGGAAACACTGCATAATCTATGATCAAAGGAATAGTTGAGCATTTGTAACCCTGGGCCCAAATAATTTGTTTTCCTGTCATCTGTTTGACTGTCTCTATTAGGATAAAGGCAAAAGTCAAATAAATAAATAAATAAAACAAATAAAAAAAATAGATAGATACAGGATTCATACTTCCAGGCCAGTAGGTGTCGCACTCACACTCGCCCGCTCTCACTCCACTCTCGCTCCACTCTCACTCCACTCTTGCTCCACTCTCCACAATTCTACAGGTTGCCATGAAACCAAATCAAAAAATTTACATATTTTGGGCCCGTAAAAATTTCTAAAACAATTATTTCTCTACTGTTATTATTTATTTCAGGAAAATATAGATTTTTATTCTACACCTTTCTAGACGTTCTGTGGATGTATTTTATTTTTTAAAATATTCGTTTTGATGAAACAGCTTTACATATGACCTTTAATTAAAGAAAAATAAATAAAATAAGAAAAAAATGTGCTAACAAATTGTGAGAAAATCACAATCTAAAGTCTATGCATTATAACTACAATGGTGCATCGCTACACTGAATTATGGAAGACCTGACATTTCATGTTGTCTAAACAACAACGATGTCAACTCTGTGCTCAGGGACGGGCTGTAGGGCCTGCTGATACCTTGTCAAATCTTAAGTCTTGCTCTTCTCCCTGATGCGGACGTGAACAGATTACAGAGTAGAGGACTGTGCTGCTCTGCAGACAAACTGAAGGGACAGCCTGTCTTCAGTGTGTCTCACTGCCACTCTGAAAACACACAAACATAGTTATTGTAAACACAAATTTCAAACTTGACCCCTCCTCCTCCCCTCCTTAACTGCAATGTCAACATTACTCATGGCAATATTTATTAGGGCTGGGTATTGCCACTGATTTCCTGAATTGATTTGATTCAATCCGATATCGATTTGATTGGAGAATTTTCATTATGATACTAATTTTTGCTAGTATGAAAAAAAGATTCTCAGAGAACTAATAGTGTAACATTTACAAGGAACTATTTTTTAAAAGAATGAATTCACAACATAAATAAAACTGAATATTTTCTAATTAAATGTTGTTTCTAGAGCAGCAGTAGTAATATTAAAACAGCAAAGTCACAATATAAACTTAATATCTCACTGGAAACAAAAAAAATAAATAATATATATATATATAAAAATAAATTATATTCCTGACATCACAATACTGAGTAAAGTTTAGAAAGAATAAAGAACACAGACTGTTTTAACTGTGTGAATATGTTACTCCTTAGGTCCACTAGGTGGCACAATGATTTCAGTTGTTACCTGTTGGGAGTTAACACAGAGAGAAAACAAGAAACAATCAATGCTGTGTACTGTGAGAAATGAGGTGGTCGAGCTGCACACTGTGCCTGCTGGGAACAAAATAAACTATCTCATGTTCATTAAGAAGCCTCCCGTGAGTTACTACATAAATGGCGACAAGGATAAAGTTACAGTGGATGCCTCCTGGGAATGCAGACGAATGAGTAAGATTCTCTGCTAAGCTGCTAAGTTAGCATAACAAACCGGAATTTTCTGTGGAGCAAAAGCATGGTGGCGGCTATGGTAGGAAGCACTGCCCCTTTTAATAGCCAAACCTAGACGTGGGAGGAATATTGTGAAGTGCTCCACCACTTTTTTGAAGCTAATGAGATCGACGATGCCAGTCGACAGAAAGCTATATTGCTCAGTTCAGTGGGCAGTCAGACTTACAGCCTCATGAGGAACCTAGTCAGCCCCGCCAGGCCAGGAGACAAGACATTTGATGAACTTGTCAAATTATTAAAGGACCATTTCAACCCCAAACCCAGGGATATTGTGCAGCGCTTCAAGTTTAATTCCAGAAACAGGAAGCCTGGAGAAACAGTTATGGAGTAACGTTGGAAGTACTTTAAAATGTGAATGTTATGCTTCCTGCTTCCTGTCTGACCGATTGTTGTTACTTCGTGTGTTTGGTGCTTTGTTTTTGACATTTTTTCCGGATTTTTCGACCACTGATTATGAACACGGACTTTGGACTGGCCTCTAGAATTCTGGTGCGACCCAGCCTGGTAAGGATTTGAACAGTGGACAACGGACTGATTAAGAAAAAAAAAAAAAGGTGACAGAGCTAGTTGCCAACTAGCAACCTAGCTGCTAGGTGAACGGCTAACAGCTGATCGGCTAACAGCTGTCATAGCTGTAAATATTCTGCGTATCCAGGTAACCTGTTATGGGGTCGAAGAAGCGAGGAAATCGACGACATAAAGAAGTCGCTTGAATTACTCGCTGAGGATGTTTCTGCTGTCAGACTTCAGCAGAAAAGTATTACTGACCTGGTGGAGGAGGTGAGAGCCCTGCGGATACAGAATGCAGAAACGGATATACGGCTCGCCTACCTGGAGAATAGAGTCTCGGGAACTGGAACAGTACACCAGACTGAATGATGTGATTGTCACCGGTCTCCAAATAAAACCCTGGTCATACGCTCGGGCGCTGACCGCTGACACCGAGGGTGAGCCAGGTGAGCTGGATGTTAGCTCCACAGAGCAACAGGTGGCTGCTTTCCTGCAGTCCAAGGGGATAGACCTGAACTGCGATAACATCAAAGCATGCCATCTACTGCCCAGGAGAAATCCAACAAACAAACCGGCCGTCATCATCAGGTTCGTAAACAGGAAACACAAGAACGCACTACTCAAACAAGGGAAAAAGTTGAGGGGGTCCGATGTCTTCATCAATGAACACCTCACTAAAAACAATGCCGAAATTGCCAGGAGAGCACGATATCAGAAGAAACAGAAAAAAATCCAAAATACTTGGACTGCAAACTGCAGAATCTTTATAAAATTAAACGGAACACCGGAGGAAGCCAAAGTGTTGGTTGTCAGGAGTATGGAGGAGCTGGAGAAATATCAGTGACCCGCCTGAACGCACCATAAGGTAACAACTACTCAAAAAACTGACACACTGAAAATACTCATTCGTCTACAATTGGAGACAATAATGTGACTCATAGGATTAACGACCACAGTCACCTGGAACTAAAAACATTTCAGTATACTGATCATAATTCGCAGGACTTGGAATACGAAATAGACCTGGACAACAATTTCTTCTTTTCTATCAGAAACAATTGTCGCTACTTAACTACAGAACAGTTCAATGGAAGCATTAATACAGATAGGAAATTGTCAATTATCCATTTAAATGGCAGAAGTCTGTGTACAAATTTTAATCGTGTCAAGGAATATTTACAACAATTTTCAAAATCATTCAGTGTAATTTCAATATCTGAAACCTGGTTCAGTATGGATAAATGGGCGAACTTTGAGCTTGAGGGGTATGAACTCAGGTATATGAACAGAAAAAACAAAGGTGGTGGAGGAGTGGCCTTGTATTTGGACAAAAATCTAAAATTCAGAGTGCTAGACAATATGACAACAGTGGTTGATAATGTGTTGGAATGTGTTACAAATCCGCAAAGAAAAAATTAAAAATGTAATCATTAGTTGTATATATAGAGCCCCTGGCTCTAATAATGAGATTTTTAAAGACTGGATGGACGTAATATTTACAAGGGTTAACAACAAAACAGTTTATGTCTGTGGGGATTTCAACATTGATTTACTAAACCCCAATAAACACCAATGACATAAATAACTATACAGTAAGTGGGATACTTATAAATGATATCAGGGACCACCTACCAGTATTTACTGTCTATGATGGTAATTATAAAAATTATAATACTAAAGAGAACAGAGTACAGATGAGTGAAAACTGAAGAATGTATAGAAGCTCTTAAGAATGATTTGATAGCACAGGACTGGGATGGCATATACAGGGAAAATGTCATAGATAGTGCATATAATGAATTTCTTAGAATATTTACATTACTATACAATAAAAACTGTCATATAAAACATTATAGTAAAAAATGTCAACATACAGAATGTCCATGGATTACAAAAGGCTTGCTGAAATTTACAACAGGGAATGTCAGGGAGGCCTGGCAAGGGCTCAATGCCATGACGGGCAGAGAGCAGAAACCTGCCCATATCAAATGCCCTGACCCCACCTCATTTGCAGAGCAGCTAAACACATTCTACAGCAGGTTCGATAACACACAGCACCCGGTGAGAGATGAGACCCCAGCACCCCAAGCCCCCCACACACACTTTCTGTCCAGAGTGAACCCAAGGAAATCATCAGGCCCAGACAACCTAAACGGTCGAATTCTGAGGGAATGTGCCACTCAACTCGGGGATGTCATGACCCAGCTCTTCCAGCTGCTTTTGGACTCCGGTTTTGTTCCTCATACATGGAAAGAATCCAAAGCGAGGGGTGGAAGACGCCTGCCTGACACTTTTGGACACTGTTACTAAAAACATGGACCACTCTCACTCATGTTCCAGGATTTTGTTTATGGACTTCTCCTCAGCTTTTAACATAGTCAACATAAACACCTTATCAGACCGCCTCACCGAACTACAGGTCAACCTAACACTGGTTAAATGGATCACAGACTTTTTACAGGACAGATCACAACATGTAATGGTCAATGGCAAAAGATCCACTAACACTGTCATAAACACAGGGGTCCCCCAAGGCTGTTGTCTTATCTCCCATCCTGTTTTCCATCTACACAAACAAAATAACCTGCAACATGGACAACATGACACTTTTCAAATATGCGGATGACATGGCCTTGGTAGCTCACCTGACGGACTCTAACAGCCTAACAGCTTATCACCAGCAGGTAGCTTCAATTGTTACTCTTATTGAGGAGATCTTCTTAGAGCTTAACAACTAAGGAGCTGTGCTGCTGCAGGAGAGTGACACCTGATGATCAAAGGGCAGGAGGTGGAGCAGGTGGAGGCCTTCACGTATTTGGGCATTGAGGTAGATAGAACACTGTCCTTCTCTGTTCATTCTGAACAAATCTATTAAAGGCACAACAACGGCTCTTTTTGCTGAGGTTTTAATGTGAGCAAAGACATTTTAACAGTTGTCTACAGATCACTCATTGAATCAGTCCTCACTTACAACATCTCAACCTGGTACACATTTCTTTCTGTAAAGGACAAATCCAAACTGTCACAGGTCATCAAACACGCGAGTAAAATAACAGGCATCACACAGTCCTCTCTCTCAGACCTCCACACTCAGGCAGTCAGACGGAAAGCCACCACCATCATACACGACCCTTCACATCCGCTCCACAACTCATTTCAACTCCTTCCTTCAGGCCGTAGATACAGGGTCCCACCAGCAATAACAAACTTAGTAAAAAAAATCATTCATTTCATCCGCAATTCTATGTACATTTGTGAGCACATCAAAGACGAATTTCCATTGCTTCTTGGAAGGGACAATAAAGGTTTTCTGATTCTGATTCTGATTCTGAATGCATGCAAAAAGAAAAATTCATTAGAGATTTCAGAAGAAAGAAAACTAAAGACGCAGATAATAAATATAAACTATATAAATAGATTAACTAATATTGTAAGAGCCAGTAAAAAAGAATATTATAAGAAAATGTTAGATAATAATAGAAATAATATTAAAGAAATATGGAATATATTGAATGGTATAATAAAAAATGGGTCTGTAAAGGCAAGTTATCCCAGCTACTTTATTGACAATGATAAAGAGGAACACGATATGGATGTGGTAGCAAACAACATAAATAATTTCTTTGTAAATGTAGGGCTTGACCCTGCAAGGAAAATTCCTGATTAAGGCAGACCAGATGAGGATGTGGGAAGGTTTATTAAAAGAAATCCGCGCTCAATGTTCCTCACAGCAGTAGACTAAAGGGAAAGTATTGCAATAACCATGAAATGTAATAATAAAAGGTCTACTGATTGTGAAGATATCGATATGACAACAGTAAAAAAGGTCATTGTAGGCATTGCAAAACCACTATATCCATATATCTGTAACTTATCATTTCAAACCGGTACATTTCCTCATAAAATTAAAATAGCAAAAGTCATACCTTTATACAAATCTGGCAACAAGCACTTATTCACAAACTACAGACCGGTCTCATTACTTCCACAATTCTCAAAGATTCTTTTTTTTTTTTTTTTTTTTAAAGATATTTTTTGGGGCTTTTTGGCCTTTAATTGATAGGACAGGAAAGGGGGAGAGAGAGAGGGGGAGTGACATGCAGCAAAGGGCCACAGACTGGAGTCAAACCCGGGCCACTGCAGCAACAGCCTTGTACATGGGGCGCCTGCTCCACCACCAAGCCACCAACGCCCTACAGTTCTCAAAGATTCTTGAAAAACTTTTCAATAATAGACTTGAAAAATTTATAAATAAACACCAACTACTCACAGACAGTCAGTATGGATTTAGAGAAAAAAGGTCAACATCACTCGCAATATTAGATTCAGTTGAACATATAAACTCCATAGATCAGAAAAAGTGTGCAGCTGGATTATTCATTGATTTAAAAAAAGCCTTAGACACAATAGATCATAAAATATTAATAAAAAAAACTTGAACTTTATGGTATCAGGGGGGTAGTTTTGGACTGGGTTATTAGTTACTTGAGTAATAGTTTGTCAAATTAGGTGAAAGCTGCTCTGCATGTTTGGACATTGCTTGTGGTGTCCCCCAGGGGTCAGTGCTGGGCCCCAATTGTTCATTTTATATGTTAATAACATATGCAGTGTTTCAAAACTGTTTTGTTCACAGATGATACAAATATCTTTTGTTCAGGACATGATTTAAATGCTTTAATAGAACTAATTAACTCAGAAATGAGCAAATTAAAGTCATGGTTTAACATAAACAAGTTATCACTAAATCTGAGCAAAACAAAAATAATGTTATTTGGGAATTGCAGAAAAACTACACAAACAAAAATTCAAATAGATGGGGTGGACATTGAAAGGGTTACTGAGAACAGATTTCTTGGAGTTATAATGGATGAAAATCTTAATTGGAAACCTCACATAAAACATGTACAGTCAAAAGTCTCAAGATAGATAGCGTATAGATTACATTTTGATTTGACTTTATATTTTTCATATGTATGTATGTGTTTATATGTGTATATATATATATATAGATATAGAGATATTATGATTATTACTATTATTATTACATATCATACATTATGCAAGTGGTACCTACTCACAGATGTATATCTATATAAATATATATTTATCATAAAGTGTATTCATTATTTAAGTTATGTTATGGATAAAGATATCTATTTATGTATTTATTTTTTTATGTTGGATTGATGTTTATGTAATTAAGGAAGCAGGATACATGATGATCGATATATCGATGATTAATGGAGAAGGGATGAGATTTAATAAGCGTTGCTTCTTCTCACTCCTTTTCGAATGTGCATGGTAAATGATCATTTTTAAATTTTGTAATACAACTTGCTTTGTGTAACATTCTATATACGAACTTTTGTTCTATTTTTTGTTTGTTTGTTTTGTTTTGTTTTGTCTTATTTTGCATACATTTTCGAAATAAACTAAACTCATCATTATCATCAATATGTTGCTGTGCTGAGTAAATTAGCTCAAGACTGCAACTACGGAGACAAGTTATCAGAGATGATATGTGACAGACTTGTTTGTGGGATCGGAGATGACTGCATACAGCGCCAACTGTTGTCATAGCTGGATTTGACCTTTGACAAGGCACTGAAGCTGGCCCAGGCCAGTGGGACAGCCAGAAAGGATGTAAAGGGCTTACAGTCGCTTGAGTTTGCACCCTCACACATGAGGGCACCTCAAGCAGTGCACAAAATGTCAATAAAGCAGACCCCCAGTAAGCAGCAGCACCAGCATAAGGCTTGCTACAGGTGAGGCGGTGAGCAGCACAGGGCTGGGAACTGTAGGTTCATTAAAGAAACC